CACCACCGTCACCACCGTCACCACCGCCACCACCACCATCATCGTCGTCATCATCGTCGTCATCATTATCGTCATCGGCATCATCTTTACCATCATCACCAGCATCATCATCCTGATAGTTACTTTCTTCTCTGCAGACATAGCCGCAATTTGTGCTCTTGGACAGCCCAGGCAGCAGCGAATCTTGGCCGCGAAGGCTAAGGAGGCAAGGCGCACCGGGGTTGTTCTCCGTGAAGCTCTCCGAATCGCATTTGAGGCTTTGGGTCCAGAGTCCAGAGTCTGTATAGAGGACTTTCGGCTCGGAGCTCTAGGTTGCAAAGCTTTGTTGGTTTGGGGAAGCTGGAGCCCCTCGTCTATCGAAAGGGACCAGCCGAGGCCTGGTTCATGTTGAGGTTGTTCCGGCCATTTTTTTCGACTGAGAATGCCTGTTGTTCTGATTGCTCTGATGACCTTGCTGATGCTGGGCTGTTGGGAAGTTCGTGTGGTCGCGGCGTTTGAGGGGGTTGTGGATCAGTAGAAGGGGGGGGGGCCCTATGGCCCTGGAGATTCGGCAGCCTACAGAGCCTTGTTGCATGTGACTGCGTATTCGGATACTGCTGAACGGAACTTTCACAACAAAGTGATCCCTAGCTTGCCAGGCAGAGCAGCTTTCGCGGGGTGAGGAGTTCACCAAGGCAGAGGCCTTGCACTCCTGTAGTCTTTTGGCGTTTGGGCTTAGGCCCGTTTTGGGTTTCTGAAAAGCACTCGCAAAGAATCATCCCCCTGCTGCTCCGCTTGCTCCTCATATGTGTTTCCTTCTTGCGAAGATCATGTTGAGGGGGGCTCAACTCTAAAGCACAGCTCTGCAGCTTTGTGAGCCTTCCTGGTTTCAGGGAAAGGCAGGGTGTGCAAGGTTGGGTTTAAAGACTGAGGCTTCGTGTGAAGGGCAGTGCGGGCCGGGTTGAGCGGTGAGGTGTAACAGTGTAACCAATCTGCAGATTTGGAGCAAACGTTTGGCACACCTCTAATTCATTTGAATATGAGACCAGACGTGCGGGACATGGCTCGCTCATTCTTGGCCTCGCAGTCCTGATTGTTGACTCGAGGCAGCCTGGTAGACCTTGTATTCTCTCTAGACTCTAGGCGTTGCAGCTTGATATTTAGAATGCCAACCTTAAACCCTTAACCTGCAGTTTTCCCACGGAACCCAGAGCGCGACTGAACCTTTAAAAGACACCAAAGCGGAAAGCTGCTTAACGCCAGTACTGATTAACGCCAGTACTGATTGCTTTTGCCGGGCCAGGATGATGATACAGAAGCCAGCCGCAGCCGCAGCCGAAGCGCGAAAGCCAGCAGGAGCCAAGACTCTTTGCCTCTCGGCCGTCATGTCAGGTTTCTCCACTGCTATTGGGCTGAGGAGGAACTCTAAACCGTCATCTAGGCTCCATGGGCCCCCGCCAGTGATGCCTGTGCCAACCGTGGTGTGTCCCTGAGGGGGGAATGTGCCCTGCCTGCTTGAAACCCGCTCCAGCTCTTAGAGTCCCAGGGGACCCATGAATATTCTTCCAGGCTCAGAGTCCTGTAGCCCAAGCTAGGTAGCGATGTGCCCCAAACCTAACCCAGGAGCCGATAGCTCACCTTGTTCCCTAAACCCAAGCCCAAGTGTCGAGGCCTGAACGTCAACAGAAGATCCCGATGAAGGCAAGAGATTAGGATTAGGATTTAACGGGCAACACCGATTCAAGCTCTAGGGTTTTCGGCACGCCTAGACTTGATTAAGCTCCGGAGCTTCCAGGCTTGAATCCAAACTCTACGCGGCAAAAATGTGACAGCGCCCAGCCCTTGAATTCCAAACCTTAACACTGCAGCACATGCCTCAACCCTGAAGCCACCGCAATCACAGTCCAAGGCCCTTGCACTACTGAAACTCAACCCAGGCCCATAATCCTATGCAGTCCTAAGCCCCCTACGTGAACTTTGACAAGATGTGGTTTGGGATTCCAGGCTTCCGGGGCCTGGGGCTAGGGCTCAGGAGCTTTTGGAGAGTTCAGGGCTTAAGTTCAGAGTTTGAGTTTGGGGGTTTGGGGGTTTGGGGGTTTGGGGGTTTGGGGGTTTGGGGTTTGGGGTTTAGGGTTTGGGGTTTAGGGTTTAGGGTTTTGGGGGGGAGGGGGGAGGGGGGGTGTGGGGTGTAGCATTTCAGGTGCTTCCAGGTGGTTGGTTGAAGCGTGAGGTCCGAAGATCTGGGGTTTCGGACTCAGGGCGTTCAAGCATTCAGTCATTCACAGGTTTCAATGCACAGAACTGTACTGGACAGAGGTATGTTGTAGAGTTTCAACAGGGTCCAATCTTGTTTGTTTCCCCAAACCCTAAACCCTCAGTTGTAACCCAGCCAGAGCCCCGGACTTGAGTGTCGCTATGGTAATTTTCTGTTCCTCTTTAAAGATGGTGCAGGATTCTGTCCATCAGCAGTGCTCCTCCACCAGCCGAGTACAGAAAGCGTCTAGGGCCACCAGGGTTCAGCGGAATACCCTAAAGAGCCCCAGACGAGCGCCCAGAAAGCCTGCATGCCAGTCTACAGGCCCCGAAAGTTACTGGCTTACCACCTACTTCTGAGCCTTTGGACAGCAGAGCAGATAAGTAGAAAAGAGCTTTCATCTAGACTTGAATTAAGCTTTCCGAATCTATAACTCCAACTGCGGAACACTTTCCGTCCCGGAGCTCCGGCCCGCCTAAAACACATTCCCCCGCGATGCGGGGCCGCCACCCACAAGTGGGCAACACGGGGTCCTCCTCACGGGGTTTCTGTTGGGACCCGAACGGAGCTCCCGACTTCTTATGCCCCAAGCAAGTTTCCAAACTTAAACCCGACTTCCCCAAATTCCGAAACGAAAGGCGCGCAGAAGCTCCTCAGAGAGTCGGTCTCGCAGCCGCTCGCGGAAGAAGGCCCTCGGCGGGTTTCGGAGGGAAATGTTGGAGTGGGGCTTGGGGGAGGGTTTGGGAGTGTGGTAAGCTCGAAGAGCTTCAGGGGTGAAAGGGCATGAAGAGATGAAGGTGCTTCTGAAACTTGAACCATACGCTGTGAACCATAGATCTAAATCCCAAAACCATAGAACCTCAAATCTTAGTCGAAACATAAGATGTTACTTCTTATGTTTTCCACCGTCGCAGCAATGCCAAGCTGAATGTATCCCAACAGAGAGCCTCGACAGCCCATTTAAGAGGCGGTGCTTCTGCAGTGTGCATTCATAGTCCAGGGTTTATGTATGCTTTGGAGCTTGGCTCAACTTTGTAAATCCAAAACCGCTCAAAGACACTGTCAGGCACGGTCCAAAAGCCGGCGCAGGCGTTCGCAGGACCCAGAAGCTTCCTGCGTTCAGAAGTGGTGTTAGGTTTTCTGAGGTTTTGTGTAAGGCTTTACATAGGATTTCAGGGTGCTCGGTTCAGGTTTAGACACGTGTGCTCGCTTCCGCGACGGCAAGTGCGTGAGCCATGAACACACAGACTGCTGTGTAAAGCAGCATGCGTCTTCGAAGAGGATGTTTCCTGCTTGTCGGAACCGGGCAACAGAAGCGACACCGGTTCAGGCCTTCGGGTTAGGTTCTTCCACAATAGAACCCATCTTGTAGGAGTGTCAGTGGTGACCGGTGGGTTTAGCCTTCGACATCTCCTGGCCAGGAGTCAGAGGATTCCCGGGACAGGGACCGGCACCTCCAGTTGCAACGGGGACGGGTCTTTTCCATGTTCGTCTCCTGTCTTGGGGTTGCAAGGTTGAGGTGCTGGAGATTCCATACAGTCGTAGTCGTAGTCACTAGTCGTAGTCGTCGTCCTAGTAGCAGCGCAGCAGGAGTACTGTAGTAGTGGTGGTGGGGGTGGGCGGTGGTGGTGGTGGTGGTGATGGTGGTGGTGGTGACGGTAGTTGTGTAGTAGTAGCAGCAGCAGCAGTCGTTGTCGTTGTCGTTGTCGTCGTAGGAGGAGGACGAGGAGGAGAAGGATTAGGAGTGGGAGTAGGAGCAAGGGGTGGAGGAGGATAATTAAGTACTGTAGCAGCTATCATCATCGACATGGTCTTCCGTAGTAGCCCCTCGTTGTATAGGATGCTATCATAGGTCCACTGCTACAGACACGATGATGATTCAGATGATGACGATGATGGTGATGATGATGATGACGATGACGATGACAATGACGATGACGATGATGATGATGATGATCTGATGATGTTGATAACGAACGTTCACTGCCGTCATCTTCACGTGACGGGCTGATGGCCCGAGGCTCAGGGTGCAAAGTATACGGGCCAAGGGCTGAAGGCTTGCAAGGAAGAGGCTACTTCGATGCATCGCCCATCGAAAGGCTTGTCGTTGTGGCTCCTCGTATTAGAGATGGATGAGGCCTACTTGCTTGAAGCTCACGGGGAAGCTACGCGTCTGAAGCTACCAGTGGCTGCCTGAACTGCCAAAATGCTGACCAGACCATGAAACCCAGACATAAAGGAGGCCTGAAGCCTGTATAAAACCGCCCTGCACCCCAAATCTTAAGCCCGTCAGCAGAGGCACAAGTACCGGGACCGCGCCCGCTCCAGCCGGGACCGAGCTAATTGGCTTGCAACTTGCCCAGGGCTCTCAGGGTCCGCAGGGTTGGGATTGCGCCCTTCAAGGTGTCTCGGAAAACACCTCCGATTTAAGGGTTTATGGTCTTATGGTGCAGGGTTCAGGACTTAGAGGTCCTAAGTCCTTCAATGTATCTTGAAGGTGGAATGATTTTATTTTATCGGTGTAGCCTTTAGCCCTAGGACTTAAACTTAGGGTCTAGGGAGGAGCCTATCTCCGACAGTTGAGATTCAGAGCGCGTACGGTCTGGTATGCAGGAGGTATTTAGGATCTAGGATTTGGAGGGTAGGGTTGAGGGCATTTAGGACTGAGGGTTGGGGCAAGGGTGCATCTCAGGTATCTTGGATTTTTTTTGGAGTTCGTTTAGGACGGATAGGTGAGGATTGCAACATGCGGTAAAAGGATTTATTAGCTGCTTGGCAAGGCGGGCATTTCAAGATCGTCCTAGGCCTAGGCACCGTGAAAGTCCGCTGTACAGGTCAAGACTCGCCATGTAGTGCAACCCGGTATCCATCCAATAGGAGATCCTGAACAAGCTGGAAACAGTTCTCGGCCGGCTGGCGACCCATTCTATCGATGGCGACGACAAGCGCAAAGAAGAGTCGAGGCGCAGCCGGTCGCGCAACGACGCAACTTCGACCATCACTGCCAGCCGTTCCTCGCGACGGAGCGACATGGTTGACTTCAATGCTCCGACCAACTACCTCGGCATTCGTTTGAGACCCGTCCTCACGGACTGTCTCGCTTGTCACACTCCCTCCACTCATTTGCAATCCGACGTACTTCACAGCCGCATATGTGCGTTCTCACCTCGCGACGCGTTCAATAGTACCAAGCGCTGTCTCGAATTCCTATATTCCTCGCAAGTAGGCGTTTGTATACTACTACTACTACTACTACTACTACTACTACTACAGATGGACCGCTAGCTGTCGTCAACACAGGTCCGTAACATTTGGCGCAGGATTCTGGGGCAAACACGCAAACAGTATCGGTGGCTTTGGTGGGCTTCTTCTGCCGTGAAGCCCTAAGTGATGTTGATGGTCGCTGTAGAAGTCATTCATATCGAGCCACAAACATGGCACCCCAATGTAGCTGTAACTCATTTCGGAAGCTCTTTTGTCAACTCCCGGTTTGGTAACCTGCATCCAAGCGCCAATGGCAAAGCATCAGTAGAACTTACTGACACCCTTACAGACGCGTGAGGCTTTTTTCATGTCAGTCAGAAAGACTATTTTTGGACACCATGCACAGCTACTCTGAATCAATTTGCCGGGATACGTTTTTCGAAACAGATGCAATATCTTAGTGTCCCTATAGATACAGAGCTTCACCGAGCCCCTGAAAGAAGTGCAACCCAGCTGAAGGTATTTCTGCATAAGGTCTTTTGAGTAGGTTTGACGAGCCGTTTCTCCAACCACGAAAACAAAAGCCCGAGAGAAAGCCCTGTGTAGGACTCCACTCAGCTCAGGAGAAGTCCCGGGAGCGGGAAAGACAAAAGGACAGAGGTCGCGATCGCGACTCCCGGGAAAGGAGGCTGGGGTTCAGGAGTTTTGGTAGGCTAGGATTCGCGGCCAAGTTCGAGGGTGCTGAGGGATTCAGTGTAGGGCGAGGGTTCGGGGTGGGTGCTCCAGTTTGCCCCAGTCCCTACGCCACGATGGCTACATCTCAGAGGCAAGACCTTCCTTAATCTTTACGAAGGCCCCCTTTGCGCTGAGCCCTTCAGCACCTTGAATGCCGAAAAACCTGGCTTGCCAGGCGAGAGAAGGACCGTGAGAGGGACCGCGACACCCGGCGGCCGCCTTCGGATTGCGCTGTCAAGAGCTTGACGGTTTTTAATAATTACTGGGCAACGTAGAGTTGAACGAAGGTCTTCTAACGGGCGCCGAGTTGCACAGGATTTTGGCAGACTTCGAGGTGTTTGGATGAACTGTGGGTCGACTTAGGTTTTCATATGATGACGACCCTAGATTCTATAGATAGCTCTCAGGAATTCTGGCGCCTCAAGCTGTTCTAGTTCACACATGGTTTCTAAATGAAGGTGTTTAATGTATACGAGGCTTTATCGACTTTTTAACCATCCGCTGGTTGCCATTATTTTCTTCACATGTTTGCAACACCGATCACGGCCAAAAGCTTCCTCACATCGTTTCGGCAACACTGGCAGTCAGCAGCCGCCGAGGACAGAAATCGCGACAGAGACCGTGAACGAGACCGGGAGCGGGAACGAGAGCGCGAACGCGAGCGTGAGCGCCAGCGTGAGCGAGACCGTGAACGAGACCGGCGAGATCGGGAAAGCCGCGGGGCTTCGACAATCGTATAGTTTGTAGCATTTTGCAAGGCAAATGGCTTCAGTGAGCCCACGAATCTCAAATTTGAGTTCAAAGCCCCTGAACACACCGGCATAGTACAGCAGGGGGGCATCCCTTCGGAGCAATGCCGTTGCCAGTTAGACAAACTTTGCCAGTCGTCCTAGATTGTCTTCAAGGCCTCTCTGTTTCAGGATTTCGGCTCATGGGGTGTAGTCTTGGGATTGGACTGGTGTCTACCGTTTGGGCTTGGGGTCCAAGGCTCTTTGCTCCGAAACCCCGTGAACCTTGGCATCTACGAGCATTCCTCCGCGAAGTACTTGATGGGGTAGTTGGCGATCTAAGCAAGACATAATCCAAGCTCCCCAAACTTGTAACATGAGAAAACAAAAGCCAAGCCGTTATCTACAGACCCCATGCCCCCCGCAAAGAACCAGTAGCCCGCCACTGCGATACCCAGGGCAGGATCGCGATCGCGAGGCTTCCAAGAAGCCCCGAGAGCGCTCGCGAGAAAGATCCCGGGAGAGAAGGGCGGCTGGGCCTTAGATGCCTTGAAAGGGTTTGGAGGTAAGGTAAGCGGGAGGTCCCTGGAAGACTTTTTAGTGGTTTGGGGACAGGTTTTTCGTATGGTGGGATTGGGGTTTGTGGTTTTGGCGCTCAGGACTCGAAGTTTAAGGATTAGGGGTTTCGGGCTTGGTGTCCGCAGAGTAGGGTTTAGGCAGCAATGTCAGTCTTAGGCCAAGGTGGTTGACAGTACTATACTCAAGTAATTCATGTACCATGTCTGGTCTGGGCTGTTGGCTGCTTCTGTAATCTGCCTGCCTGTGTGCCTCCCAGGCTTTGCAGTTGCGCGATCGGGGCCTTGTTGCCTTGAACACTAGTTAGGGCGTGATACTTGGGCAGGCTTTGGATAAGGGTTTAGGGATTCGTATGTGTATATATGTATATATATATATATATATACATATGTATTTCTATAAACAAATAACAAACATAAATGAACAAATATAAAGATACATATAAATATAAATGAAAAAATATATCTATCGGTTCTGGGCTTGGGTCTCGTGTTTGATTGTGTTCGTGTGTGGGGCTTCAGGGGGCTTTTCTGGGGTTCTACGATTCAGGGGGTGCGATTTCTCGCACTACTGAGATTTTTGTCTCAGGGTTTCGACGACGGCCTAACCAAGCCTCGAGCCTCCAACCTCAACCCTGGGCCCTAGATTCTCAACCTGGATTGTACCAAAGCCCAGAGGCGTTTCGGTTAAAGCAGGTTTGGGTTTAGGGTTTAGGGTTTAGGCACCCGAAGTGACAATCCCGAAGCCCGGACGCCTGGCCGAGGAGACTTCCTTTTCGGACACAGGTCCCTGGTGCCGTGCCCGCAAGTTGCCAGGGTGTTAGGTTTAGGCCCAGGGCTGAACGATTTCCCAGAGTTTCAAGTTGCGGGATTCCCTTTCAAGCAGTAGATATGACTGTTTGGAACTTGGTGCTTTCGTTTTATGGAGCTGGGTGGTTGGTTCGCTGGTCTTGGGCCGAGGACACAAGCGGCTTCAGGCTTTTGGGGGCTTTCGGTTTGAGGTTTCATTCTCACACGGTTTGTGGTGTTTGTTGCACACCCCGACCTAAAACTTGCTTTGCTTTGAACTGCCTCCAGGTCCCAAGGCGCACGTGTCACTAGACAATGACTAGGGCTAGATGCCCACATCGACAATCCACGTACGAAAGGCTGACAGTCCAAACTAACGAGAATCTCCTGCAACAGGCCGCAGGCTCCAAAACCTTTGTAAACCCAAGGAAGCCGCCGGCTCTGCAAACACCTCCCTCCACGACCTCCTTCTCGTCTTCGGCTCCAGTGCCCCAGGCGGAAGCAAAGGCCGGGATGTGTTGTTTTGTTTTAGGGTTTAGGGTTTAGGGTTTAGGGCTTGGTCCCTAAACTCCAAACCGGAAGCCTCCAAAGCTCAGCAAGCCACCCAGGCACCAATTCCCTGGTAAGCGTATTTAAGTCAGTGCTTTGCAATGTTCTTGGCAGGGCAAGGCGTAAATCGGTTCTCTCTAAATTAACATCCGTTTTGGGGCTGCCAGCCGAGAACAACTATGCCTATTTTGTCGTCATTGCTGCTAGTGGATTTGATATCACAATATCTTCAGAAGGCTTGAAATTGACGATAGGATCGAGTCTAGTCTGAGGGTTGGGTTTGGCAGCTTTGGATTCGGTTGGCTGTTTGGGCCTTAAGCTGTTCTGTGTGCAGGCATGTGAAAGGCGATGGGTATCAAGGCTGTGCAAGCCCAGGGGTTAGTTGGCTGAGTGTCGCAGATGGTCGCAGCTTGTCGTTTCGGGTTTAATTTAAGGGCCTGTGAAGCAACCCTTCAGAACCTTCTGTCCTCAGCCGAAGTCTCCAAGCCTCAAACCTAAGCTGTCAAGGCTAATCCCAACAGGCTAGTAACCGTCAGACGTCTGTGCTCCAAGCCCAACAAACTCCGAAGCCTTCGGCTTCCTAGAGTCGTGGGCCCTGAGGATGCAGCCACACCCAAGGCCGCGACCCTTCAACAGCCCTTCGGCATTGCAGCTCGGGGTCTGGAGGTCTGGGGTAGGCTTCCTGAAAGGTTGCGAGGGGAGCTCTGAGGAATTCTGTATTCGATTCTGATGGCTGCAAAGCTGATGCACGGCTCGCCAAAAGCATGTACAAGGTGAGCTATCAGGATTTTGACGTTTGATTGATGGTTTGCATGCCCTCGAGGTTCGTATCTGGTGCAGGGATGTCACGACATCTTCGAAGAGACATTTCAAGTCGCAGATGTTATGGACTTGCGGACGTAACTGAGTGTTCACGAGGTGCGCACAGGATGTAAGCTTCCGCGCGCAGGGAACATGATATGGCAACTTGAAAAGTTTGGGGATCCAAACCCCCTGCAGGATCAACAAAAAAACGAGAAATCGACAACCTGAAACTGGCACCCTTTAGCCGTTTTAGCCCCTAAGCCCATAAGGTTAGACCTGAACTTCTCAGCCTTCTCAGCCCTCAATGCTGCAACACCCAAATACACCCAAATCACCGGAAAAGCTGCAGATATAGGCGTAAGCTTTTGTACGTTTTGGGGGTTAGGAGATACGGTTTTGGTTGTAGGGGTCTGGTCTTAGGGTGCATATGATTCGAGGCTTCGGGTTTAGGGTCTCAGGATTAGGTGTCAAGGGACAAGGTTGAGGCGAGATTGAAAAGTCTCGCATCAGGCTTGGTTTGTCAATCCCAGACGAAAAGTTTAGCTTGAAGCTCTGTGGTTCTTGATCTGTAGCTGAGTCTTTCTGACTTTCTGAGGCTCATGCATGCAGCTCCTGCGCTCCCTGGTCGCACTGGAATTGAGGACTCAGGTATATCCTGGAGTCCTACAACCTTCTGCTCGAAACCCCAGGATAATCCGGGGTTGTGCAGTACTATGCAGACGTTACGTTCGCAGCCCACACGTTTCGTGATGTTCCTGCCTGGGTGGTTTTGAGCTCGTGGCGAGCCCTGTTGCTCTCAAGGGTATCGCTGAGCGCTGAAACGAACACAGGATCAGGAATGCACCCGAACACTCCAAAATAGCCTTGAACAAAAGCCAAACTTGAAGCCTTGATCACATGCCATTACTGAACCCTACATATATCGTAAACCCCAAGCCCTCAAGCCCTAAGCCGTAACTTCCAAATCCTAAACCTACGCCCTAAATTGGGCCCTCGGTCCCTCACACCGAGAGGACAGGCCGTGAACCGGATTCTCTAAGTTGCACACTGAAACCTCGGGCCTAATGTGAGCAAAGCACGAGAAAGACGCATGAGAGCACAAAGTCGTGCTCAGGATTGATAATTCCGTCTCGAGTCTCGGGTCTATCACGTAAAAATCTTGGCCTGGAGTTCAGGATTTTGTTGGGGTAGGGTGTCTTGTGTTGATTGAGTTCCGAATAGCATCTGTTAATAGGCATCACTCTTCTATCGCCGCTGCACCCAACATGGGGAGCACCAGTGCTAGCCACTCGCCTAACATAGGAAGACTTCAGCCCTGAAGTCTAAACAGGACATTCCGGAAATTCCAGAACAGAAGGAGGTAAACTCTTGGAGCCCAGATTCTCAAGAGCATGTTAGCGCAAGAACCTGAGGAGACTGCGAATCACGAAGCCAAGCCATACCGGCTCAATACAAGAAATCCTGACACCATTATTTTAAGAGACACCCATGGCTTATATACTAACCCATCTGACATTCAAAGCCTGTCACATGAACATCCTCCACAACAGGTAGCGCAGCTTTGTACCGAAGCCGCAATGGAAGCCCAAACCCCCCCTCAAGTGCCAGCAGTCCCAGGCCGGCTCTTCCAAAGCAGATGCCTCACCAGGACAGGGTTTTTCCAGAGGCGCTTGAAGATGTCCTATTAGGCAGGGACCCGCAGGATCCTGGGCAGGTTCTCGTGTCGTTTCAAGCTGAAGGCCGTGGAACTGCTTGACAGTGTGTTTCTCGTGGGATTTACAGGTTCTGCTAGGCTTCCGCCGGAGCAGGTTTAGTGTTTAGGCTTCGTTTTGTGACTGTAAGGCTTGGGGTGTAGAGTGGTGCGTTCCGACGGCGTTCACACCCAAAGCCCCAATTCGTCTGGGATTCATTTAGGCCCAAGGTCCTGGTTCATCCGGAGCCCCAAACCTCAAATCGTCGGTACCGTTGGCAACGGGTACTGGTGGCTGCAACGGATTGTGGAAAGTGCAGACCCCAAACCCTACAGCCAGAGCTAGACTTCACATGAGGATGCGTGCTTGCCTTATGTGCCCTAGCAGATGCACGAGAACACTGCCCAAAACCTTGCCCAGCCCCAAGTTTTGCGTACAAGCCAAAACACCAAGCCACCCTAACTCCCGATGTCGTTGAGGTTCGGGATTTGGGGTAAGGCTTCAGGGCTTAAACCCTAGGAGCTCCGATATGCTCCGATATTATACTGGTGGCCTAATGTAAGGGCCTTTGAGAACTTGTGGTACCGCAAACCTGGACATGGTGTTCTGCACACTGCCGCAGCTCTGTCTCCAGGATTTGCCACACAATTTTCAAACGACGGGCCACTGGTCCCGAGCCCAGGACCCCAGGGTTCAATCAAGCCTTCGGGAGCGCGGTTCAGAGCTCAAGCTTGGGGTGTTGGGAGTTAGGGAGGCGTTGAGCAGCTCAAGCCTTACACCGTCAAAGATGCCGTCGAGGCAGTGCGTTCAAGGGTGTAGGGCTTCAGGATTTCGGAGGTTGGCAGTGCACCACGTCAGAGTGCGGAGGATCAGATTTTCGCATATGTGAAGTCCTTCCGACGAGAGGTCGCGCCCGGAAGCCGCAAAGCAAAGGTGCGTTAACGTTTGAAGTGAATGCAAGAGTTTGAATGGGGATAAGTGAGAGGCTTTTCCGTAGTCCTGAACAAAGAGGACTTGTTCTGCCTTTGCAAGGACGCGGAGCACGAAGCTTCGATGCAGTTCAAGCCGCAAACAGCGGCTGTGGGCTGGCAGCAGAACGCAGAGGCAGGTGTAGGACAAAACTCAATGCGAAACCGGAGAAAGTCCATGAAACCCTGGTCCCTGAGTCCTAGACATAAACCCAATCTAAGCGGCTACATCAAGGGGTGTGGTGTGCAGCGGAGTCTGAAATCCGACTCCCAGAGACCTGCTGCACTGGGGTGCATGACCGTGTGGCTTTTGCTCTTCGTGAGTGGAACATAGTGCAGGGTTGCGGGCGCAGGAGATCAACTTAGGGTTTAGGGTCAGGGGTTACGGGTGTCGCAGACCGAGAGTCTGAATGATGAACGAAGTACTACTCGTTCTGTTGTCGCTTGTATGTGCTAATTATGCTTCTTGCTATTACGACATGGTAACAGCAGAAACAAGCAGTACCAGCAAGACTCCGGCGTTCCTTCACCAAAGCGCTTCATGATAACAAGAGTGTTCTATTGCTATCAATCGCCTTCAATCCAGAAGCGTAAATGCTAAACCCTAAGAGCCCCCAACCCAAACTTTGCACCCTTCCCTGAGTCCTTGCGCCGAATGCGCGCTAGGCTCCGACGCAGGCTGGAGATCCTTCTACGGTTGCTCCCAGGGCGGCATTCCAGGAGCCAGCTTAGGATTGTCTCGTGGGTCTCAGAGTTTAGGATGGGTGTAAGAATCAGATCTTGCGGCGCATGAGCGATTGCAAAAGGTCATGATTGAATTTGGCAGTTGTTGTTGCTGTTGTTGTTGTTGTTGTTGTTGTTGTTGTTGTTGTTGTTGTTGTTGTTGTTGTTGTTGTTGGTGTTGTTGTTGTTGCTGCTGCTGTTGCTGTTGGTGTTGTTGTTGCTGCTGTTGCTGTTGCTGTTGCTGTTGCTGTTGCTGTTGCTGTTGCTGTTGCTGCTGCTGCTGCTGTTGTTGTTGTTGTTGCTGCTGTTGCTCTTGTTGCTCTTGTTGCTGTTGTTGCT